GAGATCAGCCTGAACTGGAGTGAAACACCATCTGTAAAAATAATCGGGCATTATGATGGGCGCCTATAGTCCCAGCTACTCGGGAGACTGAGGCAAGAGGATCTCGTGAGCCTAAGAGTTTGAGGTTGCTGTGAGCTACAGTATGATGCCAGGGCACCCTCCCAAAGGTGATAAAATGAGACCCTGTCTCAGAAAAAAAAAAAAGAAAAGAAAAGCGCTGTGGAGGAGATGAGAGTTCGCACCATTTTATTTTTAGCACTTCTGTTTCCATGACAGCCGAGAGAAAGAGCATAAACACTTGTTGCAGCCGAACATACACCAGGTGATTGTCTTACCAGTTTGGGCCTTTTGGTTCCTGGTGGGGACTCTCTTGGTGGCTTGCAGATGTCCTCCTTCTCACAGTGTGTCCATGTGGCAGTGAGAGAGAAAAAAGAGCTCTCTCTCTCCCCCCTGCTTTCCTTATAAGTTCGTGAATCCCATCCTGTGGGCTCACCTTCATAACCTCATCTAACCCTAATTATTTCCCAAAGGCCCTGTCTTCAAATCCTACCACATTTAGGGCTAGGGCTTCAGTGAATGAATTTGGGAGGGTCACAGTCAGTACATGGCAGCAATTAGAAACAGCAAGAAGTAAAATTGAGTGTGTGGTATGTGCCAGGCACTTAGGCAATCCTGAGAGAAAATGTCAAGGGGGGTGTGGGCAGGAGATATCCCAGGCTCTCTTCCTGAGGGAGAGGTTCTGCTGTCTTTTGCCCAAAGCATCTTGAGACCCCACTGCATCCTAAAGAGAATGGGGTGGGGAATAGGAGAGCTGCCTTAGGGTTCAGCTGTAAGACTTACCTCTCTCCCAGGCTGCAGCTCCAGCAGAAACCTACCACAAATCCAATTTGAAAGTTCCACTCAATTCCAGTGAATTCAAGAAGTGTGTTCTATGCACTTACAACATGCTGGACACCATGTGAGTCACTGGGATGTGGCCTCTGCCCTCCTAGGTTGGTTGGAGAGACAGGTGTAAATAAGCTACCTGCTGCGGAATGAGGCACATGGAGTAGAGCCTTGCCTCAGATAAGAGCACAATAGCACCAGACCAAAAAAAATGTATTCTGAAAACCGAAACTTAGGTGACATTTGGGCTGGGGGGAGGAACTACTGACTCTGAGTTCACGAGCTGGCCACAGGGCTTCTTGGATGCTCCACAGACCAGGGAGCAGGAAGGACCTCAGAGCCGCTGCTTTTAAGGGTAAATGCCTACATAAAATGATTGAGGAATACCAGAAAGTATCCAAATATCCTTTGCTACCACCTGCCTTGAGGCCTGGAATGCCAACTTTCAACTATTTTTTAAGAGATCCTTAAAGCTCTTTGTTCATTGAGAGACACACATTACTAGGCCAGAGTTCCACAGGAAGGAGTAATCAACTAACTTAATGCAACAGATTCCCTTGAACATCTATCCTGTAACAAACACAATGAATTAACAAGATGCTCACATTTTAAAGAAAGATACTGGCTTATAGCTAGATAATTATGACTCAGGGACATGTTGCAATCTCAAAAGTATTTGTTTCTCTATTCAATGTTAATTGAAACCTGCTTTGTTCCAGACCCTGTGCTTGATTGGATAGGATAGTGAGTAAGAGAGAGAGCATGATTGCTGTCATGGAACTTATGTTCTCATCCTGGTAAGAGATAGGCTTTTTAAAAACACATAAACACGTCAATTAGATAATTTCAGACAGTGATTGCTGCTATGATGTTAAAAAAAAAATCAGAGTTGGGAACGACTTTGGATAAAGAAGGCCCCTCTAAGAAGAAAGGATGCAGCTGAGGCCTAGAAGATGCGAAGGAACTAGCACACCAAATCTGGCAGGACAACACTCCAGGCAGAGGGAATGGCAAGACCTGTGGCCCTGAGAAGGCAGTGGTCTTGGCACTCTTGAACAAAGATGAGGCCAGTGTGGATGGAGGTCAAGCCTGCAAGACAGGCAAGCGAAAGACAATGTAGTTGCGGACTTGGCCAGTTCATGTACATGACGGTGAACAGTTTGGATTTTCCTCTAACTGCAACGGGAAGCCATTGGAGGACATTAAGCAGGAAGTAAGTGCCCTGATCCAATTCACATTTTTTATACAGGATTAATTTGGGGATGACAAGTACGGAAGTAGAAGTCAGTGATGAGGCCAATGTTTCAGTCCAAATGAGAAACGATGGTGGGTTGAGCCCGGCAGTGGAGAAGAAGGGCTGTGAAGTGATCTGGGATCTGTTTTGGTGGCAGAACCGGCAGGACTTGCAACTAGATTGGATGGAGATGTGTGAAAAAAAATCAAACAAGACTGACACTTTGGAGGCGATTAGGTGCATGCTAACTTTCACAATCTGGGTATCCTCTGCCTATTTATGGTGAAATTAGTCTTGGGATTCAAAGAGACCAACTGGGGAGGAGAAAAGAGAGCAGACCAACTGCTCGAGGATTAGGCTGGGGGCACTCAGTTTTTAGTGGTTGGGCAGAGAAGGCACTGACAAGGGACATTGCGGAGAAGCAACCAGTGGGAAGAAAAGCAGGTGAGAGCAGAATTGAGGATGCTAAAGACAGTTTCAAGAACTAGAGACAGACCACACCCAACAGTGTGACTCACTAACCTGGGTTTACATCCTGGCTCTTCCGCTTACAACCTGTGAGAACTTGGGGAGCTTACCAATTGGATCTGAGACTTAGCTGTCTCTTCTACAAAATGAGAACAACCACATCTTATAGCACCATGGATACTGCTGGATGCCATATGGAAAAGCTAGCTAGGTGCTAAAAACCAGTAGGTGCTCCATTAATAGTCATGTTATTATTTTCACTGTCATCATCTCGCCTATGTTGCCTGTCCAGTACATTCTGAGTGGGCAACCTCCTCTCTTCTCTGTGTAACTGCCACTTATAGTTGGCAAGCCCCAGCACAGAGTCACCTGGCCTGACACAGTACCTCAGATGAGCTACCTGCTCAGTAAAATGTTTGTGGTAATGACACCTGAATGAGAAATACTTATGGAATGTCAACAGGAACTCTCAGAGAATTCAAGCAGAGGGGGAAATGAACTCTCAGAGAATTCAAGCAGAAGGGAAAGAGTACCTTCTTTCTCTGTCTACAAAGAAACCCAGGGCCCACAATGTTCCAGAACTACTAGAGGCCCCCAAATAGCTCCTTTTCCCACTTTTAGAAAGCAGGACGTCCTTTCTTGAAAACTACCCACGAATTACTTATTATTTTCTATTGCATATATTATTGATACTACTCTCTAAAGTGGAAATGTCACTCAAAGAAAGTCAGACTTAATGTGATGATTCACAGCTTTATTAAGTATGCCTCACAAATTGTCAGGTAAGAACTACTGCCTTAAGATCATGGAAAACTAGTGCCAGTGGTTCTAGATGGAATGAAATTCATGCAACTAGGTGCTCAATAAACATTGAATGAATGAATAAGCTTTCTAGGGAAGGCTCCTTTGGCATATACCCCTTTTGGGTTTCATCCAGAATTGCTCTAGACTGCTAATCAAGTTCCACAGTGCCCACATGTGAGTTAACAATAACACCATATCTATTTATACAGTGCTCTGTACAAGTTGCAGGATTTGGGCCAGTAGCTCAAACTGTCTGAGTCTCAGGTTCCTTAGTTCTTAATAGGGGATAATAAACCCTGTTTTGCAAGCTTACTGGGAGAATTAAATCAGATAACTGTGATAACTACCCCTGTGGTGCAATTGACAAGAAGACTCTTAGCAGAATGGCCTCTCACTTCTTGCACATAAGCTTTTCCCAATAAAATTGACTGGTGTCATCTAGGCATATACTCCTTTTGTTAGAGACGTGTGGCAGGCACTCTGCCAGGGACTGGCACATCGGCTACCCAGCTCATCCCTCACAAACAACCAGGTTGATTAAGAGGCCCTGAGAGTTACTAGCAAGGACTCCTCAGCTAGTAAGTGGCTCCCTGAACTCAGACAACTTAGCACGTGGCGTTGGCCAGCCCGCTGGCCCTGCCATCTCCATCACCCTGAGGCTTGTTTGGACTTTGGGTTTCAGGGAAATGCTTCTTGTATTCTGTGTTCTGTAGTTTTGTATAGACATAGACCACCAGATCTGGAAATTTATTCTGAAAATACGAGGAAGGGTCTCCAATTACTGCCTTTATCCTGAAAGGAAACACAAACAGTTTGGCATGCTGGTCTCAGATTTTTCTTCCCCCTTTCACGGCACCCACCCAGCCCCAAAGATCTCTGTGCCCTCTTGATTTCTAGAGCAGAATGAGGAAGAATCTGGAATCTTTGGAATCTGACGTAGCAAGATTTATCTCCTGACTCAGTTCCTAAATTTACGTAAACTAATTCTGCAACCTTTGGCCATTTAATCTTTTTGAACTTTAGGTTTTTTATTCACAGACAGAAATTAATACCACACCGTCATAATTCCCTGCGTACAATTCCAAAATCCAGAAAAACCCTAAACTGCAAGGTTTTTTTGTGAGTTTGCCTCTGACATTTTTGGCAGCAAAAGCTAATTTAACTCACTTGGGGCTATTTCTAGACTTTTGCGATGCTACATTCGTTTTACACAGTCATCAGGCCTCCTTTTGTTATTTTACACAAGGAAATCACTAGCTTCAGTTCAATTTGTTTTACGTTTTTTCTAGCAAAAGCTAAAAAGAAGGATGGGAGCCTACTGGACACATCCATCGTTAATTTTAAAGCCCCTTTTCTAAACAGAGGATTACTTTTCTTTCATCAAAATAAATTTTCTTCTTTCCATAACAGATAAAATTTTAGAATTGGAATTTCTAATCATTCTCATTTCACGTATGATATATAGAAATGAAACAATACTTACTTTTTGTTCTTTTTTTCATCAAGGTGTTCTCCTATATTCCTAATGAACTTTAGCAGATCACCCACAGTGTTCCGGTAGTAATTTCCCTTGTCTGCATAGAACTCATTCATTTTTCCCATAACACATTTCTCAATCTGAAAAACAAAGCATAAGACAAAAATATGGTAGCAACACAAAATAAGCCCTGATGGAATGTAAATTCCAAAAGGCAAAAATATAAATTTGAATATATGCTATATGTACAATTACTACTAGTTAATAAAGCAAATTCACAGAGAGAAAGAATGAAATTAAATATATACCAAAACGTTAAGATAATTGTGTCTGGATGTGGAATTGCAAGTGACTGTAAATGTATGTGTCTATTTTCCAAGTAAATGGTTTTTGTGAAAAATTAAAGATATTAAAATAATGGGGCAGCACCTATGGCTCAAAGGAGTAGGGCGCCGGCCCCATATACTGGAGGTGGTAGGTTCAAACCTGGCCCCAGCCTAAAACTGCCAAAAAAAACCAATAATAATAATAAATAAAATAAAATAAAATACGGTTTAAAAAGATCTTTTGACTACTAGAAAATTTGCTCATTGTCTATACGGTATTTTTATCCTGTGGCCACCCTTCCAAGTTCACGCTTGATCATATGTCCTTCTTAGAGACGGCTGTTCAGATTAAAACCAGGTCTACCAGCCACTGCCAAAATGAGTGTGGTTGTTTTTGTTTGTTTGGTTTGGTTTTTTAAAGTATATTTCCGAGAGGTTACTTGTTTCTCCTTGCCTCTGGGGTCCCAGGGTAACTTCTTTCATATTAAGGCCTTCTTTCTCTATGCTTGTTGCTTCTGTGGACAGTTCTCATGTTTAGAAAGAGTTTGGGCCAAGAGAGCAGGATGCAACAGCCATGAAGCCAGGGCTCACTTAGGAAGCACAGCTGGTGACTAGACCAATACTCATGATGACACCGCTGCCACTTCCCTGGTGCACTGTGAGCAGAGCACACATGAGAAACGCTGGGTGGGCCTGTGCTCTGCATGGCACCAGCTGAGAATAAGTACGGTCATATACAAGGAAAACTTGGACTCTAGACCTGTGCTGACAAAACTAATTGTGTGACTGAAAATGAGCAAGTCACTGAAATCAACAGGAAAAACCTAAAATGGCAAATAAATGGTAAAACTTGATATCAACCAAAATTCAATGTGAGTCAATAAAATGTAAGGGAAAGAACCAATGAATTGGAAAACAAAAGGTTTTTTTCCTCCCAGCTCTGTCACTCTCTGGTTGTCCAGCCACCGGTAATTTGGGTACCATCTCTGAGCCTCAGTCGCCTCAACAATTGAATAAGCTGGTGGACAAGATGCCATTGTAGCTTTGTGCAGTAGAGTGGCTTAAGCACATGTCATCTGCGGCCATTCTTCCCAGGTTCAAACCCTGTTGCACCTCTTACTGGCTCTGTGCAGTTGGAAAAATTATTTGTGCTTCAGCTTGCCTATCTGTGAAATTATTATCTCAAAGGCTGTTATAAGGATTAAATGTGGTAACTCATATTTAAAGTCCTAAGAACTGTGGCTACCATGTAGTCAAGCACTACATAATAGTTAGCTACCACTGTCATCTGCTCTGATTTTAAATTTCTCTATTTCTACAAATTTAAGTTTTAGCTGAGATTTTATAGACATTTATTTAGCAAAGCACCATGGCTGCCCACTCTATGCGAGGGATGCAGTAACAGGCAGGGTGACGGGCTGTCTCTGTCCTCATGGAACTTAACAGCTAGTGAGGAAAATGGACCTTAAGTCAGCAGTTATTGAGTATGATGTATGGTCTAGAGGCAAATGAAGGAAGGAAAGCAAAACAAAAACTGGGAACAAAGAGGTAGGAGAGAAGCAGAGTCCCAGGTCAGTCCTAGGATAGAGGAGCTGGAGCTGTTGGTTTCGGTCAAAGACCTGCAGATTTCGGATTCTCCCATAGTACTTTGCATATGTCCCTGGGGGGCCCAGCAAGCATCACGTAGCACCATTTCTGCGGGTTTCCCTGCCCCACAGGGACTAGGCTACATTCAGCTTTGTATGTTCAGGGCCTGATATTTGATAGATATTTGTTAATTAACAATAATGAAAGTTCTGATAATAGTGACCAGATTGAGATGGTGATTGATTGCGTATCATCTCACTATGCCGTATTTAGTTCAAGTTAGAAGAGGGGGAATTTGAAAGAACACCTTTTCTTGTAGTCTGTTTCCTCAAGTAGAATGTAGATTTGTATGTGGATCCTCAGAGCTGGGTCGTTTGTAGGTAGGGAACCGAAACGCCTCATGGTGGAGCACCTCCCAGAGGTGAAGCTCCATTGAGTCAGCTGCTCTTGTCATAATGGTCATAGAATGATCAGCCAGGCTTGTGGGAAAGGCTCATGGGCTGGGACAAGGCCATCCTAAGGAAGAGCCTGAATAACAATCTATCGGGGCCTACTCTGCCTAAGGACAAAGCAAATGAGAGTTTACTTTGAGTCTCGGCAAGAGAGGGAGAGACCCAGCCCCAGAAAGGGGCTGCGGAGACCTGTCAGAGGCAAGAGGGCCTGGGCTGGGGAGGGAGGGAAAGAAAATCACCTTTTTCAGTCCTTGCATGGCCCACAATATAAAATAAGTTAGAAAAACTAACATAAAACATTGCACAGATTCTTATTCCTGAAATAACTCCTAGACCACAGGAACTGTTCGTACCTTTTTAGTCCACTTAGCAAAACTATAGGGACATTCAGATGTTTCAGGTTCCAGTAACTTGAGGATCTCACTTTTAGGCTTTCGCGTTTTGATGTCCGATTCATTTCCCACATTCCTAAGTGTCCTGTAGCGGCTGAGGATGACAGAATTATTGTGATCATTTCATCCTTCCCACTCTTTCCTGAAATGTAAAACTACTAGATTTTGACTTTTAATGAAAGTCGTTAATGATGTCTTCACAAATTCCGCACTCTTCTCCCCTCTTCACATTCTTCAGAAGAGGAAACCAGAATCCAAAGAAGTTAAGTCATCTCTCCAAGGACACACAGCCAGTAAATGTCAAGCCGAGAGAGACAAGCTGGGTCTGATGATTCTCACCCTCAACTCTAGCTTGTGTCAGCTCACTCTCCCATCCCCTGGAATATTGAATCAAATTTTACTTACCTCTCCCAAGACCAAAAGAAAGGATGACCCAGCAAGTCATTCAGACAGTCCCTCACATTGTCCCCAGGGTGGAACAGATGATGAATGAGGTCTTTCGTTTCCTCATCTGGAGAAAGTGGAACCACTTCTTCATTACTTTGAGCCTTTAGCTTCTCAAATGAGATGTTTTCCTTCTTGACCACATACAGGACCAGCCGTCCAAGGACCTACAAAAGCCACAAGTCAAGCCAGAGATTCTTATGAGTTATTTCTTTATCTGGATAATCTTGGAAGGTGTGGTGCAGAATAGAAGCAAACGGAAGACAGGAGGGATCTCAGGGAGTCTGCAGGCTTGTTAGGAAGAGAAGATTCAAATTTGTGCACAGATAACTCTTCAGGCAGTGTATGGCCCACACAATTTAGGTTTACAAAGAGCAAAAGATAATTCTGGGCCAGAAAGGAAAAGAGCCTCAAATGTAAGGACAGCATATAGATGAACTGAGGAAAAGGAGACTGGCTTAAACAGCCTGTCTGGAAACTGGGTCTTTGGGTCTGGGGCTACGTCAGACAGCAGATAGAGCAACCAGGCCAGGCCAAATGGGGCACAGTTTCAGGGTCTCAATGGTTTGGGCCATAGGAGCTGGGCCATGGCAGGAAGGAAAGGCAGAAAAAAAGGTCATCTTAGGGAAAAGCAAAACCTGGAGCCCCCACACCAAGAGGCTGGACACATGGATGGAGAATCCTTGCCCATTAGGCTTACAGTTCAGCACACGGGACCTCTTCAGGAGAGTCATGGTCAGCCTGGAAGTTCTGCTCTGCAGAGGCCAGTCTCCATGTTTTCTCAGGAGCAGCAGCTACCTTAGGGTCTCAACGGTTTGGGCCAAGCCTAGGCTCTTTCAAGATGGGATGACCCCATCCCTCCCAAGTGTTCTCAGAGGCCCTCAGTATCTGGCCTTCCTCAGAGCTTAGCTCCCAAGTTTGAAAGGAGTAGGGGAAAAAATCTCATTTACTTTGTTCTGAGGCAGAAAAATAACTCCTGCTTGTATTATGGAGATAACTTCAAAAATCCCTCCTGGAAGTTATTTGCAGAAGAGATGTGGCATGCTCCATTTATTTACTTATTTAGCTAGCAGAGGAAGACAGAGATTCAAAGAGACACAGAAAGATGCCACAACAACCACTGCCTCCACCCTGACGTAGGCCGTCATCTTCAAACCTCTGCTAGGGAGAAGCCCAAGGAAATACATGGTCTGTAGGGGAGTACAGACAGTGAGCAAGACAGGGCAAAGCCTTGAAAGTTCTTTTCTTCCTGGTTAACACAGGGACATCTTGCTCAGCACCCGGTGCTCAGTGGTTATGGCGCCGGCCACATGCATCAGAGCTGGTGAGTTCGAACCTGGCCTGGGCCTGCTGAACAAACAAACAACAACAACAAAAGATAGCCAGGCATTGTGGTGGGCGCCTGTAGTCCCAGCTACTAGGGAGGCTGAGACAAGAGAATCGCTTGAGCCCAAGACTTTGAGGTCGCTAGGAACTGTGATGCCACAGCACTCTACTGAGGGTGACAAAGTAAGACTATCTCAAAAAACAAAACAAAAACACAGGGACATCCTCTAATTGTTCATAGGAAAGGCGGCAATGAGCAAGTAAAGAAGCAGAAGGAAGAAAAGGTGAGCTGGGTTGTAGAAATTACCTCTAGATCTCTCTTGATTTCCTGTGGATCTCCAGCCCATTTGATGCTCTTATCAAAGTCTGCCAGCCGAACAGCATTCTTAGAATCTAAGGGATAGTTTGCAGAAGTCCATTGAAAATATCAATCTCCATGATGTGAGAGTCGGTTGATTTAAATAAACATGTAGCCATCCATCACCTCTGAGGAAGGTAATAAAAAATCTTACATCTGTATTGTTATTTATTCCTCAAAACACCATCATGCACACTGTTTTGTTTGATCTATCAAGTATCTGCCAAAAGCAGGACTTTTTATTTTATGTTTTCCAGGCCAGGGGGAGGAAGAAATGAGGCTTAATTTAACCAGCACCTCATTCATGTAGTTCCTGGGGAAAACAGTACCGATTTGTAACAGAGATGCTGCTGGGAGTTCAGGTTACATCCTACGGCTAAAGAACATCTAACCAACAAAGTTCAAAATCCAAGGCTGTCCACTACAGCAAGGGGGCCAGTCACAGCCCACTATGACACTTGAAACGGTTATCAGGGATCAGTGAAGCGTTTGTAAATGAGTCACTGCTTCCCTGTCCACTCCAGAATCATTTCCCTTGAATGAAGTCACTGAGTCCTCAGAAAAGGGATGGATGGATGAGAGGGTTCAGGGACGGGGCAAAAGGCGGACCGGCAGCAATTTGTCTTCTGAGAGGTGGTTCCTGGCTTCTCGCTTAAAGGAGTCTGAGAAGGAAGGCTGGGTAACACTAAATAGGGCAGTGATCAATTCTGTGCTTCTGGAACCTCTTTGATTCTGAACATAGGCATCAAAGTTGTGTGGGAACCCAGAGTCTGATACAAATGAACCCATTAGGCTTTTCAATAAGCTTTTACTGAGGGATAAAATGACAGGTTAAGAAGGAGAACACGGTCCAGGAGTCTCTGGGCAAGGAGACAGATACTAAACGAGCAATTAGTAATCACACGGATAAACGGAAAATTCATGGCAATTTTATAAATGCTGGCAAAAAGCCCCGGATGTTCTGAAAGTGTGTTATAGGATGTTCTGAAAGTGCATTATAGGAACAACATAACTAGTGGTGACGGTGAGGGGCATTCCCTAAGGAAGAGACACTTAGACTGAGAAGATGAGTAGAATTTGGGTAGAAAAGGGGAGTGGAGAAGAGGGGAGAAAGCATTTGATTCAGATAGGAATTCCTGAGGCAGAAAGAAGCCTGGAGAATTCCAATCTGATGGACACTGGGATCAAGACTGATAGAACTTGGAGGGACGTCGCTCTTGGCTGAATCTTGAATATTCTGCTTTACCTTATGGAACTACACATACCTTCTGGCCCTGGCCAATCTCCCTAGTAAAGCTGCTAAAAACCAAGAAGGAATGTCATCAGTACTTGTCCTCAAACTAAAGGTCCAGTAGTATTCTTACATATATCTGGCTTGTCTCTTCCAGGACCATGAATACTATTCTCTATCTCTCAATACTTGCACCAAACTTAATTTTTTTTTTTGGCAGTTTTTGGCTGGGGCTGGGTTTGAACCCACCACCTCTGGCGTATGGGGCTGGCACCCTACTCCTTTGAGCTACAGGTACCGCCCCAAACTTAAATTTTTAATGTATGTCTATGGATCAAGTATCTATTCTGCTTAGATCTTTAAACAAGCACTTGGCCTTTCTTAAGCACCTATGATGTACCAGGTGACATGTTTACTTGACATATTGCATTTAAATCTCATAAAAACTTTTTTTTTTTTTGTAGAGACAGAGTCTCACTTTATCAGCCTTTTTTTTTTGGTAGAGACAGAGTCTCACTTTATCACCCTCAACTCCTGGGCTTAGGCGATTCTCTTGCCTCAGCCTCCCGAGTAGCTGGGACCACAACACCTGGCTATTTTTTTTGTTGTCATTGCAGTTTGGCTGGGGCTGGGTTTGAACCCGCCACTCTCGGTGTATGGGGCTGGCGCCCTACCCACTGAGCCACAGGCGCCACCCCCTCATAAAAACTTTATGAAGGAAGTATTATCAGTCTCAAATGAGGAAACTGAAGCTCACAGAATAGTTTGTTTGGGGTTACAAAGTGGTGAGACTAGGCTTTCAGCCACCCTAATCAAGGCTGAAGCCTGCCTCATTCTACTGCACCATACTGCCTCCTGGGACTTTACAGTCAGAGCTTACAGAATAAGCTCTGCTTATTCCTTTTAATGTTGCTTTCATGCATTTTGTTTCTGGCTTGGACCAGTAGATTCTGACTTGTTCTGCTGTGGAGTCTGCATCTTCACAGGGTCAGATCATATCCTGACACCTTTCATTTTAACCTCAGTCTTACCATTCAGTTTCATAGTTATTGCCACCTTGTCTGAAGGAACTCACCTGGAAGATTCTCCGCTTTGTGGATTACTTTAGGAATTCTAATTTCTGGAGCTGGATTCATCTAAGACATACCTGCATATTGCTACTTTGCTAAGGGCATAAAAGGTTAGTCCATGTGCACCAACCTTCATGAGGACTAAGGGAACCCAGTTATAACTGGTAGCAGGAGAGACCACACTGTACTTAGGAATTTGGTGTAATAATCCAAAAACTGAATAATCCACATTTACTTTGGGTTTTTCCTTTATGCAAAGAAAAAGTCTTCCTTTTGCAAACCAAGACCCTACCATTTCTAAGGGAGAACTGGGGATCTGGAACTCACCTATTAAGATGTTTTGCGGCTGCAGATCCTGGTGAGTGTACCCACATGACGAATGTAGTTCTCGAACAGCCTTAAATATAGACAGGAGGACATTTCGGGCAAACTCATCTTCCTTATCTTCCACAGCTTCCTTTCTGCGCACATCCAAGCATGCTTCCAGAGTCTGTTCACAGAGGGTGACACACACGTACAAGCAGCCCCTGTGGCTCTCACTCCCATAGAATGACACCAAGTTACTGTTCTCTCGGCTGCTCTGCAGACAGGAGACTTCCCTTTGTGCACGTGTGCTGCCCTCCCAGAATGTCTTCACAGCCACCTCCTGATCCTCGTAGATCCCCAGGTAGATGCCCCCTTCAGAAGTGTCTGCGATTTTATATTTTTCATCAGATATAAAGATCTTGAGTTTGCCAATCTTAGGGCGGTATATTCTGTGGAGATTTTTCAGAGCTGTCCTCCAACGTGAACTCTGAGGCGTCCAGTCTTCAGCGGGAGGGTGAAAATGTTCTCTAGCTCCATGAGCGAGAAGAAACCCTATGAGGGAAATGTCATAATTCCTCCTGGCCATCATGACAAGATCCCCACAGTCTGTACTGGCTCCTTTGTTACACAGCAACTGGGCCATTTCACTATGTTGCAGTTCAACAGCCAGCAGCAGTGCTGTTTTGCCTTCACTGTCTGTGTCATCAATCTCTATGTGCTCTTGCTGCAGAAGCATCTCTGCCACACCCAAGTAATTCTTTTCCACTGCCAGGATCAGGGGCGTCTTCCCTTTGTCTCCCCTCACATTAACATCAGCCCCATGGTCCAGCAGTAGGCGGGTAATAGCCTCCATGTTCCTATCCCGAGAGCTCATAAGCGCACGGATCAAGGCATTTCTGCCCATATTGTCTTGGGCATTGACGTCCGCCCCCATCTCATCCAAAAGGATCCTCACGATATCTACATGGCCCATTTCAGCAGCGCCCATGAGTGCCGTGGCCCCTCCTTTCTTAAGCCGCTCTTGATCCTTCTTTGTCTTTCTACTCAAATTGACCTCTGCGCCCCTCCCGTGAAGGAATCTTAAGGCTTCAACCCTACCGTACTCAGCGGCTTCCATGAAAGCTGTGAAGCCATGAAAATCACACTCATTGACGTCTGCTCCTTTAGAAAGGAAAAGGTCAAGCAGCTTCACGTTTCCCACGATCGCTGCAATGATGAAGGGAGTGGCCCCGTTCTTCTTCCTCAGGCAGGGGTCAGCACCATGACCAAGCAGCAGGTCCACGAGGTCTTCCCTGTTAATTTGTACTGCGTTATGCAGAGGTGTCCAGCCCCCTTCCTCTTCCTGGAAATTGACATCAGCCCCTCTTTCCAGCAACTGCTGGACCAGTTCGACATCTCTTTCTTTGACAGCTTTGATCAACGAATGATTGTCATCCATAGTAGCAGGCCTACTGCTGGAGCAGCAGGCGTCCTGGGCGTTGTTATGACTCTTGGTCTCCATGACGTCTGCCTTTTCCTTAAGAAAATAACTACTGTCTCCTTGGGACCTAATCAATCAGTGAGCACAGTGATCAAATAAGTATACTTATTTGTTATAAAACTTTAAATCATTATAGAATATATGAATATGTATAAGAAGAATGGGGCCACTCCATCACTGCAGCGATCGTGGGATTATCTGGCTATGGGTCAGTGCTATGAGGAGGAACCATCTTCTGTCTTCTGGTTCTACCTGGAGACAGAAAGAGTTATTTTATAATAGGGATAAAAACATTTGAATCAGAGAAATTAATTTTAACTGGCAACTTTTTCTAAGTACATCTACTTATTTGTTCTAAAACTTAAAAAAATTATAGAATATATGAATATGTATAAATTCAAAATAAGAAAATTATTACTCTCTAGTCCCACTGCCCAGAGACAACCACTCTGAATATTTTAGCATATTTATGTAGTCTTTAAAAATAGTTGGGTTCATACTGTACAGCTTTATATCCTGCTTTCTTTCATTTAATTTCATACTACAAATAATTTCCTGTTATTATGAATATTTTTAAAGCATTTTAATGGATACGTAATTTTTAAAGCATTTTAATGGATACGTAATATGCCACGATACAGTTGTTTCATTTGCCTATTACTGTTATTTTCAAAAACATGTTTTAAACAAAATTTTTTAAACATTCTTAAACAATTGTACATGATGTTGCAATTTACACTAACTTGTTTCTCTATGATCGATCTTATGATAGACTTCAAAGAACTGAATGACTGTTCAAGAATATGATTTTACATATGGGATTTTCAATCTATATTCACAAAATTTTTTCAATATCATATAAGTGCATTTTCAACTTATTTATTAAGTGCATTTTCAACTTATTTATTTTTGCACACGTATACCAAGGTGTAACCCCATCATAAAGGAGTATCTGCAGTACTGGGAAGAACTTGGACTCTGACCTCAGGAAGATCTAAGTTTAGCCCCTGGTTGTGTAAGTTCAGATAGTTATTACTTCCTGATGTATACTTTTAGATTGCTGAGCTTCAATTTTCTGTTTGCTCAAATGTGGACAACAATAAATACTGTATGTGTGCAAAGTGCCTTAGAGTATGATGTGCTGTGACTTTCAGGCACTCAATAAATGGTAGAGCTAATTATGTCCTATTAGGAAAACTTTTTTTAATGAAATACGATTTTTTTATTGTTTGCGGTTCATTGAGGGTACAAAGAATTAGGTTACACTGATTGCATCTGTTAGGTAAAGTACCTCTTATAATTGTGTCCTATCCCCAAGAAGTGTGCCATACACCGTGACCCCCAGGCCCTTCCCTCCTCCCCTCTTTCCCCGTTGCCCCACCTTGAATCGATTTGAGTTTTTCTCTTATGAGGGTATGTATTAGATCGTATGGCTTCAGTAGAAAAACTTTTTTTTTTTAACAAATCCTATTCTGCCCACCGTTGTTCCTATAGTTACTACACAAATAGGGAACCTGGAGGAATCAATGTACTCCAACTGTCCTCAGTCGGCTCAGAGAATTAAAGATTCAAGTCGATCATCAGACAGCCCCACACCTTTACCTGAGTAGGTAACTGCTTCTGCTAAACAGTTCACAAAGCCACCCTTCTTCCGCCATCTCACCACTCCGACATTTCCAAAGCTCATTGATTAGAGTTCATCACACCTTCGCAGGTCTAATCCACTGTGGAACACAAACGTGGTCACCAGGCATTGAAATCTTAGAACCAAACCCCTGTGGAACCAACCAGCCCACTTACAACCCGGTGTGAGGCGGGCTGGGACGGAGGAACAGGGCAGGAAAGAGAGTCAAGGAAAGTAAACAACACATCAGAGTAGGGAATCAAGGAGTCTCGGTGAAGCAAGCAAACAAAGAAGACCCGCTTTCTCGTTTTTTTTTTTTTTTTTTTTTTTTGCCCCAGAGTTGCCATGGAAACAGGAAGCCTGAATAAAATTGGCCTGCGACGGATCCTTGCAGCTAAGGGCTCTGGCGGAGGGGCTCGTGGGGCAGCCGCGCCTCCTACCTCCTCCTTCCACCCCGCAAGTCCTCCAGCCCCAGCAACTCCGGACACCAAAGCCCTGCAATTCTTCCCCAGTTTTGTCAGCTCGTTTCCTTCCGCCCATCTTACCTTCTCAACTCATAACCTCACCCGCCTGCATTACTCCTTTGTCTGCGGCGGAGCCTGGAAGACTGTTCGCAGCCGGGAGCCGTTTTCTTTCCTCGCCTCCGGGATCAGCAAGGCCGGGCCGAGAAGGGAATAGGCCAGCGAGAGCCGCACGCTTTCACCCGGCGTCACCCGCCCCGCGCTGGCGTCACCCGCCCCGCCCTGGCTGACGCTTGCACCCCCGGCCGCCGGCTGGGGCGGGGCTGGGGCGGGCAGTGAATGGCTCCTGCCTAATGAGGCGGAGCTTTGACTGCGGAGACCAGACTGGATCAGCTCCGGGCCTTTCAGCCTTGATTCGAGCGTCAGTGCTTCGCTGCACCCCTCACTCTTACACCCTTCCCCAGTCATCCGAAGTCTCCTGTCTTCTTGGGAGAAAGGAATGGAAAGCAAACACCGAGCACCTACTGTGTGCCACGCACTATGCGTTGCATGTGGCGTGATCCCAGTTAACAAATGTGAGACCCAGGCTCACAGAAGCTGAATGCGCCCCCAGAGGCCTGTCAACCATCTGAGCTTGCTTAACTCACTGCCCTCAGGCAAAGCAAAGCAGCCTGCTGGGAAAAGCCCTGGACGTGCAGTCTGGAGGCCTGGACCTACAGCTGATGCTGTGGCTGGCTAGCCGAGTGACCTCAGGCAGGTGGTTTAACCGTGTTGGGCCCCATTGTCTCCTTTCACTTGGTTTTGAAGGTTCCTTTCTGCTCTGGAAGCTCTGTTCTTGAGCATTTTCCTCACACTGCACTGTGTACCGTAGAGAATGCTGCAGTGGGAAGTATTCCTATCCCCGGGGAATCGAGTCTGCCGGGAGACACAGCCCAGAGAGTCGTGAACAGCAGGCAGTGCATGGACACACGATGGTCACCTGTGCTACAGCGTCCAACCTGGGTCTCTGTCACCGCTTGCACTCCACTGACCCCCAGGCCTCTCCCTCTAACCCCAGCCTCTCTGGTGAGCTTCACACCCCCACATCTAGCACAGGTCCCAGATAGAAGTGGCCATCTCTCACTAAATCTGCCCCCTCCCGTTTTCTCCATCTCCATGAAAGGCACCACCATGCGAAGGCCACTCATGCTCACCCCTACACCAAGTCCCCTGCTTTTCTCTGCACAGGAACGACCACTCTCAGCTCTTGTCACTATTGATTTTGAGAAATTGGGGACTTGCCTCCTAGCCCCCATATATGGTCCCACCCTGCATCACCAACTCACCACAGTTTTCAGGACAAAGTTCAAAACCCTTAACCCATTATTTATTCAATGAATACTTACTGAGCACCCATTATATTGCCAGTAAGTATTCTAAAGGCTTGGGAACAGAGATTTACCCCACAAGTTCTTCTTGGAGTTCATGGAGCTTGCATCTTAGTAGGAAGAAATAGATCATAAACAGTTGAAAACCCAACATATGACTTCAGATTATGGTACAGTCCCCAACTGCCCCTCCCCTGCATGGACATCGTCACTGCTGCTGCTTCACGTCCCTCTGCTTCCCACCTCTGTGTCTTGTCCTGCTGCTAATAATAATAGCGATAAAATGGTGATGTTGTTAATAGTAGCAGATATTTATATTGCTCTTTACTATGCTCCAGGAGCTATTCTGACCACTTTAGACACATTAAATCATATAACCTCATTCTCATAAGGTATGCAAAATTTCCCCCCATTTTACAGATGAGGAAGCTGAGGTTTAATACAGTGGTTTAATACAGTGGTTTAATAACTTGCTCTGTTAAGAGGATTTGGGCTACATCCTTAAACAACACAGAGAAAGATGGCTGCCTTCATTCTCATGGAAGTTAGACAATGAACAAAGTTAATAAATTATATAGAATGTTTTATGGTGAAAAATCTACAGAAAGTAGATAAAGTACATGACATAGAACAGGAGAGTTGAAAGTATTAGGATGAGGATTGTGGTGTCAGAGTAGACAGGGAGGGCTTCATTCAGAAGGTGACATTTGAGCGTCCATTGAGGAAGATGTCAAAGCAAGCTATGCAAATGTCTTCATCAAAACACAGTAATCAGAGGCAATAGCAAGTGCAAAGGCCCTGAGGCAGCAGCATGCCTAGTGTGATCAAGGAGAAGCAAGGAGCCTGGGGGGCTGGAGCAGAGGGAGTGAAGGGAGATAGTAAGAGGAGTTTTAGGTCACATAGGGTCTTAGGGCCCATTATAAGGACTTTGTCTTCTGCACTAAACGAGTTGGCAGCCATTGGAGAGCAGGAGCAAAGGAATAACATGATCTGAATTATTACTTTCTTTTCTTTTGGAGTATCGTTATCAGTGCTGTCTTGGGAAGAACCTGGGGGCTGAAAGCAAAGACAGACGTTGGAAAAGCGATTAGCCCCTGGGTTATTGGATAGTCCAGTTTAGAGCCACTGGTAGCTCAGAGCAGGGAGGTAGCATAGAAGCAGTGGTGGAAGCTAGTTTGTCCTGAACAGATGATTTGATAAAGACTCATGAGGAGGAACACCCCTGTACTGAAATGAAGTTAGGAGTAGAAACCCACCAGTCAGGGAGAACTGCAGAGGCCACTCACGCTCAAGCCTGCACCAAGTCCCCGCTTTCCTCTGCACAGGAATGACCACTCCCAGCTCTTGTCACTGTTGTACACTATCTTATAAGAGGAAATTGGAAGGCTTGTTATAGACAGGGATTAGGTTTCATGTCAGGTGATTTGGGGAAGGGTGCCAGGGAATAGAATTTTGCTCCTAACTGGGTGCTGTCAGGAAACAGAGCGATATGATGATTGCTATCTTAATTATTATCAGGAAGAAGGAAGTAAAGCTGGTAAGCCAGGGGCAGTCCCTCCTGTCAGTTGAGAGAGGGAGGGTTACTTTGGGTTACTTTCGAGGTGGCACATCATTTTCGTCTCTGCCTCTTGTTCAGTCCTCAT